AAACAAGCGCTTCAAAGTGAGGCTTGGTTTGCTATTCAAAACATCCTTACAGTGTTTGGGCCGCGTGAGTTTTCCTCGTCTTCAGTTAAATGAGGTCGTGGGCTCGAGTCTTGCTGATGTCCTCCGATCAGTTATTTATGCAACCTTGCCTCCCTTGGAGCCCAAAGACGTAAGGGTTTCTGGGCCTGCCCCCGAGTACGCAATCCTGTTTGCAGTCTTCCTGACTGTAATAGCTGTGAACTCAAGTACTTGAAGGAGGAAATGGCGCGCTGGATGCAGTACAAGTCTATTATAACCGTCAACTTGTACACGCACATAGCACTGGTCCCACACTCACCATGCTCTGGAACCCGTGACGGAAGTATTCGCTGAAGACGGTAAAACCGTTAATGTACACAGGACTGTATTTGAGCAACACTAAGTCAGATGTCCGAACCTCAGATCAATATGTTCCAGGTTCGTTACTGAAAAGGTACCCAATGTCGATTTTGTTTAGCAGGCAACCGAGTTTAGGCCAAGCTCTAATCACATCACTTTCTCGGGGCTGCCTAAGCTATTGGCAGTTGGGGCTGCGTCCAGTGGATACCATTGCTCTACTGATGCCAGTTGTCTGACAACATTAATAGTCACGCGCGAACCCAGTTGGTAACTTCACGTCTGCAAAGGGAAGATGGTGTGGCAGTATTCATCGTGAATTACTCCTGCTGATCTTATGTGGACACTGGTCTGCCTCCCTTCTGATAAACCTCGGGACTTCTAGTTTATTTAACTTTCAATTCCACAGTTTTACGTATTTAAGCCAAGTGAGTTCTATTTTTGGGTTATAAGAGCCAGAATGCCTTGTCTCTGGTTATTAATGTCCATATCATTACTGTTTCATCAGGTTTTAGATCTACAGCAGAAGGTCGAAAATATCACTGTCTACGTTCCTAAGCTGGATAGATATGCTAGTCTTTCGGAAATCTGCTACAAGCCACTGGATCCCGATTTCTCGGCATGTGCTCTCTTCAGCCCATTGGAATACCTCCAGACTGACGCATCCAAGCTCGCTTCTAAGGTAGGAATCTTTCAATGTTTCTGTCGCAAGCTCAGTATGTAAATTAACTTAATAAGGCGTTCATGTTTGGTCTCTTTCTCTTTTTTATTTGTATGTGGAATGGAAGGAGTACCTTGATCACATCACCTTCTGTACTGAAAGTTTTGCTTCCGATCGCGCTCCCTTGGGCAACTGCCGGGGGAGGTCTGGTCTGCCGATGTTCCCAAATGTCGTATTTGGAGGATTTACTGGTGATTTAATTACCACTGTTTAACATGCCTATGAGTTTTTTAGACTTTTAGTCTTATCTTTGCGTCTTATATATTGCTTCTTTTTCCTTCTAAGTCGTATACTTTTGATTTCTTGAAATTCTAAAGTTTTTTACGTTAACTGGTAGGGCGCGGTACTAGGCGCTGCCAGTGATAGAGGTGACACCGGGCTGAGTAACGGGAAAGGTAGTTTTACTTTTAGGGCTGAGGATAACTCATGCTTCTCGCACCTCGGCAGAAAACGGGAATGTGAAACGTCCTTCCCGCAAAACAGATGACCTTGTATTACATTTCAGATAGATTAATTATTCTCTTATCTAAATCCTGACACATAAGCCTAAGCCAACGTCTAAGCCTAGGCCTAATCTGAACACTAACCATACCCTTAAACCTTATATTAACCATAACCCTACTTCTTACCTCATCCCTAACCCTCGTTTGCCTGAAATTTTTCGAAAAACTGCCTGTATTGCGGTTACTCCTATGTCCATTCCCCGCCTGGAGACCACATTAAGAATCCCTACTGGGTTAGACTTAGGGTTGGGATTAGTCTTTGAATTAGGCTTTAAGTCAGGTAGGTTGTGATTGAGAAATCTAGCATTGGGATTATAGTTCGTGTCAAAATAAGGACGAGGGAAAACGTAGCGCCTGGGATTCGACACAAGATCATCTGTAGTGCATATATGCTTATAGAAGGCGGGAAGACGCTCTCTGAGACCAGTAGTTTATTTGCCCGACGTTTCGGACTCTCACTCGAGGCCATTGTCAAGGAATGAAAACGTATAGCTCGCTGCGTAATTAAGTCAGCTCTGCCTTGGGTGACCTTGAGTTCCCATTATTCGCTCCGCCGAGAGTGACCTTGAGCCCTAACATTGCTCGCGCAACGCGAGATAGGCATCTGGGAGATCAATATGCCTATTGATAGAGTCCGCGTGCGAGTGCCATGCCTCTTGCAAGAGGCGTGAGATTCAATCGTCCGACCGATCCAGTATTCGCACCTGTTCGAAATCGAAGCCGTGCCCTGGCGTGGATGCGTGAGCAGCTACCAAAGAAAGCTTGTCATTCCGTCCCACGGCGAGTCCGTGCTGGTGCATTCTCGTGAGAACCCGTTTGCCGGTTTCAGCAGCATAATTGGCTTGATACTTATAACCACGTCCTTTTCTCGTAATTGAATAATTCTATTACTGCTGCTTAATGTTTAATGACATAATTTTAATGACCTGGTTTTCTGTCAAGTCTGAGAATTAGATTGAAAAAAAAGTCATTTGCTATTAGCTTCTATTGGCTTCCCGATGTAGTAGCTTCAATACGTCCGGACTTTCTCACCGTTTGACTAATTGCGTTTATCCTCTAACAGGATAAACTCCTTCAGATGAAGATGTAAGTCCTTTCGAAGAGAGTGTATGCCGTTGATGAGAAAGTAAAGGACGGATCATGGGAAAACTAGTGAAATTTGGAAAAGCAGCTATGTTAGTTATTCTTCTGTGTTGCGTCGCCTGTAACCAAGGCTAATCTGTCAGCCTAATCGAGCTCAATTAATATTTTACATACGCAACACAGGGCCTGATAATAGAGGCAAGGATCTCTGATTGTACGATTCCTCAGGTCCAAACTTCTCTTTTGACTAGTAACAGTGGCTTTTCACGCCGACTCGTAAACATTTTCCATTCAGCATGATTCCGGCACACAAAAGGCTTGTTACTGACCGGTTCGTTTAATTCTTCAGAGTTTGGCCCTGTTAACTGCAGCTGGAGGGTGCATAAGCTATCGGAACTTGCTAAAATTTGCACAATACTTTGTTAAAACAACTTATATATCCCTTCACACATTGTATGGGTCTCAGCTGTTTCCGGTTTACAAATATGCGCTCTCATATATTTTCAGAAAGCGGAGATGCTTCGAGTTTTGACCTTGCTTTCGGGCTGTGCCCTAGTAACTGGAAACTTACTTTGAGAGAGTGGCTTGCTTCAGTTGAACGAAACCCTGCATCTAAACCATAACAAAAACACGGTTAGAATAGACGAAATAGTAAAAACGGGTTTACTTAAAATATCGAGTTATTAAGCTAGGGTCGTAATCTATTAACTACATTTCTGATAACATAACACTGAGAGCAACTGAACACCAGTTACGATTCGGTTTGAAAAAATAAATCCTATAGGAACGAAACCCAGAAGGCTAAGGATCTGACTTTCCGGCCAAAAAATCTACTCTGCGCAGAGGCTGGAACAAATTGAACCAAGTATATAGTATCAGCGACTCCCCGGGTTCTTTACCCGCCAATTCCTCTTACTTGAATTATTCAGTGATTTTCATTGTTCATCTTTCAGCTAATGCAGTGCTTCACAGCCACAGCGTAGGCCATTGCGGCCACTCATCAGATCGCTCGGGTCTACTAAAGTACACTGCAGAAATAGTCTTCCATTTCAGGCCCACCCCTTATTGTTTCAACAAAAAGAGTTTTTTTTTCATTTTTCATCATGAGATGTCATGGAGCGAAAATAGCGTGATGATTTTCCAACCGTGTCAAGGTCGCATTCTACCCCCCTACCGACTGTGTTGTTTACGCTTTTTCAAGAAGCGTGGGTTTATGCTCAATCTGCAAAATTTACCGTGAACCCCGTTAATCTTATTCGCAAACTTTTCGGTCCTCAAATTCTTTTATGAGCAATGGTTTGTTTACTTAGAACGTAAACGTATTTTAGCAAAAAAGATCTCATGGAACAATCATGACTATATAGTGTTAATGAGAACATAATTCAAGCAAGCAGGGCTCGCAAAATCATCCTTGAAGATAATGGTTCCCTGTCGCAGAAAAACGCCTTAGCCGTAGATCCACCAGCTGCATTCTTCCAGTAACTGGAGGATTAGCTTACAATATCAATTCTAAATATGATTACAGAAGTAGGCAAGCTTATTTTTAAATTTCCCGTTACCCATTAAGAGTAGATGCATGGAATGGTAAAAGGTAGCATGAATTAAGGACACAAGGTACACAAAATCCAAGATGGCCAAAATGAAGCAGGTACTATTTTTTATCAGGGCAATTAGATTGGTGCTTTCCTAGCGTTAACCGTAGTTCGACTTTGGAAAATGGCTGAACCGGTGACCAAATTGGATTAATTGGGGCAATTAAAAGTTATAACAAGTTTTTCATGGAGGAGTCCTCGGGAGGGTTTGGCACTAATTCTACTACTGCCCTCCGTATATCATCGACCCCTTACACGACATTGTTTTTCACTGGCCGTCGGTGCATCCAAACCTCCCTCTGTTTAATTCTGGCGCTCACGGTTAGAAAAGGGAAGATGTTGGACAAATTATAAAGGATATAGGGCGCATCTTCCTGATTATTATAATTTCAGGTAGCTTTCCTACCACAGAGCCTTACTAAAAGCGTTGGCTGGGAAACCTTTTCGCTGATTAAATAACTCACAAAAACTTTGCACTGACGGTCGGACTATAATGTGATACCAACTTTAATGCAATCTTTGTGACAGCTCCCACACTTGTAAGGTTTTTGATGATAAAACGTAATTCATGTAAAAGCGGAGGACCAGCTTATGTGTGGCAAAATTGACACGGAAGCTTTTGTCAAGCCAGTCATTACAACTGACCTTATATTCAATCGGTTGGTCATGTCATGACTACATTAAATGAGGGGGAGCAAAAATAATGTGGTACATCTCACGCAAAGCTATCTACCTCTGATCGAAATCAAGTATAATTTATCATTGTTTTCTAAGTGAGAGGTAGTGGTGCTTTTGGCCACTGGCCACGTTTCTTTCACATTTCTCCAAACAGGGGTCAGCTTCTTAACCCTCGCTCATTGGCCGTCTTCTTTGAATTTGTTATTTTTTTAGGTGACGATCATTTTCAGGCTGAGGCCGTAATTATTACGTTGATGACCAAGAATTTTCTCGACCACGATTCTGACCTGGCAGCAGTTACATTTGCCTGGGAGGCTGCCTTCATTGAACTTGTACGTCAATGGAAACTGGAGCATCTCAAAGTCATTGTCAGTTTCAAGGCTGAGGTACAAATTTTAATTTACACATGTGTCAACTGGGTATTCATGTA